GTTGCAGATAAAAATAATGATATTCCCTCGAACGTCACAATTTCTCAATTCGCTGACGATATTGCTCTTTTTACTAGTGTCAAATCATCTAGCGAAGGCATCACTATCATGGAGCAATCAATTCAAACACTTAGCAACAATATAGGCAAGCTCGGACTCGAACTAGCTCCCCACAAATCTGTTTTTCTCCACTTTGATAAAAAAAAAAAAAATAGCACTAGCATTAGAATCGAAGACGTCATCGTAAAATCTAGCCATAATGCTCGTTTTTTGGGTACACAATTTGATCATGACCTGTCCTTTAATTCACACAGCCAAATCATTCTAAATAAATGCAATAAAGCCTTGAATATAGTCAAGTTTCTTTGTTGTACTTGGTGGGGGGCTGACCCTGAAATCTCATTAACTCTGTACAGAAGCTTTGTGCGGTCGCTGATTGAATATGGTAGCTTCATCCACCTTCTAGCAACGAGTCTCCACCTTCCATGCCATTAACTGATCTTTTTAAAGACTTTAAAAAGTCTTTCACGAATAACACTCGCGAAAAAATTAAAAAGATAATATGACTACGGGTAAGATATACTTCCGGGAGTTTTATAATGATGGTCCCAAACCGTGGTTCTTCCACAAAGGTCTCAACAGAGAGACAATAGTTATTATAAATAAATATAGAGCCAATCATTTAAACCTTGGGGTATCCCTTAAGCGCATAGGCATAGTCGATGACGATCTTTGCAAATGCAGCAAGAATGTAGAAGACTTGGATCACGTATTATGGCACTGCGATCTATACACCAGCCAGCGTAAAGTATATTTCAACGACTTTAAAAAACTTAAGCTTCACAATCAGCTTGATTTTCAAGCAATGCTCAAAAGGCCGAATATTTCCGCGTGTTTATGCATTGTCAAATACCTCGTGAATTGCAAACTGTATTTGTAAGCTATTCATCTAGCTTTGTAACATAATATTATATATTTCTATATTTTTCTATTTTGTATCTGTACATATGTATACTTCTTTTTGTATATTGGCATAGCCAAAATAAACCTGTATTCGTTTAAGGTGCTTAATAATAAAAAAAAAAAAAGAAATTAATTTCCTCTACATTAAATTTTGTTACGTCCTGTGTTTCATTTTGCCACCAGATGACGCTGAAGTATCGACTCAAAATGCAGGAAATATTTAAAGAATTCAAATAACAAGGTAACAATAAAAAAATGTAACAATAGTTTAGGGTTTTGATCGAAGTGTTCTGATTGACAGCTTAGAGTAATCTAAAAAAAAAATCGATTACGGCTCAATTTGGCAAAAATGGACTAAGAGTTATTAGAAAGATTATAGGCTACTTTGTATTTATTTAAATTACTTGGGAAATTTAATTTGTTATGCATCATATCTGAATTTTTTGAAATGGTAAATATTTTCGCTTACCAAAGAAAAGTTATTAACCAGATAACTCTTACTAGATTTTTCCTTTCACTGGAAATGGGTTACTAACTCTATTACATAGGTATGAAAGAACACTTTCTGTTTTTAGCAATTACACTTGTAATTAACAAGTGGAAAATCGCTCTATGCAATACATTCGACTTCTTTGAAAGGCAACTCTTTTCTTTTAGTATTTCAAAATGAGAAATGTAATTATTTAGAAAAACAATCAATCCTAGCTCTTATTTTGAACACATTATATTGTATTGTTCGAATTATAATAGAAATTGCAAACCCTCCAAGAGATATTTCGTTTATGCTGTTCAATAAAAAAATATTGTAAATAGTTCAACCTGAACTCAAAAATATACTATGGTAATTATTTAGAATTGGGGCTCCAGGCAAAAATCGCTCCAAAAAATTTTTTACTGCCTGGAAACTATTTTCTTAGGTAGAATTAGACAAATGAAGGTGGGAGAGACATGTTTCATGACGTTTCATCCAAAAAAACAGGATTTTCAAGTATAGGTATAGCTTGAATTCCAATAATACAGTGACGAAGAGGATAAAAGGTGTGAGGGGGGGGGGTGTTTAAAGGGCATTAATACTTTTATAATTTTTGAAAATGTTTATAGCGTTTTAACACCCCTCCCCCACCCTCTTGCCTTTTTTTGCTACGTTCTGAAATGTACGATCAACAATTTTAGAGACATTCAGTGATTTATCATATGTAAGTTCTACCATTTAATGTCTAAAATAATGGAAAAAAATGTTTCCCCCGCCTTAAATTCACTATTTGTACCCTCAGAAATAACCCCAAATGCATAAGAAATTTTTTAGAGCAATTTTCGCCTGGAGCCTCAATTCTAAATAATTACCTATACTATCATCATGTGCATACTAGTATATTCTCAAGAGCTTTTGAATTCTTTAAGTGTTTATTGACACATAAGCATTACTTAATTCTCTGCACTTTGCGTGCCAAACGCGCATTTATTGTAGTTTTAGCTGATGGATAAAATGAACGATAAATAATATCACTGACGATCATTCTTGTGTTTATCACTTCTCAAAGTCGCGATCGCGTCAGAATGTGGTACATTTTACATTTGTTACATGAATCACAGATACTGGTATTTTTTTATAAAATTGAAAGAGAATAAGGGCCGTGTACGGAAGAATTTTTTTTTCAAACAGTATGATAAAATATTCGAAGTTTTTGGATCGTACATTACTGAATAACTGGAGCAAAATATCAGTGATTAGCTATTACCCTAGTAGACCGCCCGGATGTAAGAATTTTTCATTAGACTAATGTACGTCTGTTTCTTTTCTGAGTCAGATTGCTATTTATTTCCGATATTGAAGTTCTTTCCAAAAATCTTACATCTGTTTGTTTCAGAAAAATGGTTGATACATACGTATAAGGCAAACTTGGACCATCATATAAAATGGCACTAAACATGAATACACTGGCTGCATAAAAGTTATTGACATTATTATAAGTGTTATAGCTAAAAGTTGAACGTTTTAATTGATGAACTTCTCTGCAATATTGACAACGCACAATTTTCAAGAATCATGTCCAGGAATTTTCTATCGATAAAAAACATTACAAAAATTGGCCAAGTCTAATGAAATTTTTTTCAAACTAACTAATTTTCAAAATCAAGTTAACATCGATTGTTTTATCTGCAAAATTACTTCTCTAATTATTTAAGAAAAACTTCACAGAGTTTTTTTTCCAATATTTATCGGAATTAAAAAAGAAATTGCTTAATTTTATAAATGACATAGAATTTCATATGATTTCAATTTTTTTTTCAGTTTTAAAATTCTCTTAGATAGTTATCCAAAAACAAAAATTTCATTATTAGCAGAGTCATTTGAAACGAGTACATGGCGCGAAGTTATACTGACATCCGAAGATTTTTCCATGAAAATTATTCAAAAATCATCTTTTTCGAATTTATATAATCATATTCAATCAACTTTTTTCTTGTTTTTTTCTTCAAGTTTGCGTCCTTATATTTTTTGTATGTACGGTCACATTTCATTGCTAATTACAGAGCAGATGTGATTTATCCTTCTTTCAGAAAAATATAAAGGAAGTTTTTTTTTAAATTTTCGAGTAATCGTTATAAATAATTGTCGAAAATACGAATTGCATGTAATTTTATTTCCTTATAAATAAATTATCATTTTTCCAAAAATAATGCCACTAAAAAATTTCCAATTATACTTCTCCTTGCAGGCATCTTTTAAATTGTTTACAAAAACCCAATAATTCAAAAAGATGGAGAAGTTTTAACTAAAAACTTTTATTCATTTTTCTCTGCTTATACTGATAGGGCTATTGCTAAAATTCTTATATTTTTTTTCTATATTTTTTAACCATTATTGTGTTATAGACAATCATTTTTGTACACATTTTTTTTTTTCAACGTTTTTCGAACGCTTCTGAACATTCCTCGATTTCTTCAATTTTTCTATGCAGAATTAGTAATTTTTTTCAACAATTTTTGATGATAAACATCAAAAAATCCACTCTTTGTTGAAATAATTTCTGTATTTTCAAAATTTAAGATACCATTTGCATTTGAATGAGATGAAACATTAGGAGCAATTTTAGTCGAGTCGTTTAAATAAGGGTTGTTTTCACTAATATTACATGGTACTTCATTAGAAATATCTTGGGTAGTCGAACACACTTTCAAAATCTTCGGAGGAGGTTCATCATTGTTGACATTAGTGTGAAATGTATTTTGATTTATAGAGTTTTCTATTAACGAACCTATTTTTCGTTTACTCGTTCGAATTCTGTAGACCGAGAAATTCAGCAATTTCTTTGTCACAAATCCCAAATATTAGGACTACCTTGAAAAATTCGAAAATGAAAAATACTTTGAATTTACTATAAATAATTACTTTTTTTGCAAATTTTATTCTCATTCATGATTATTTGAGAAATTAGCTATCAAGTTCTAAGTTTTATTTGTAAATATATGTAAATAGTTAGAAATTTCTACTCACTTTTAATCCTAAATATTTTTCATCGGGTGCTTCGTTTAGAAATTTGTTTATCTCGTCAGAACCGAAGTATGCGATCAAAAGAAGAAGAAATTCCTTTAGTTGGAAATAAATAATAATTCACTCACAGCTACTGCCGACTCAACACGCACGATCTCATGAGAAGCCGACAGTCGAAACACAAGACCGAGTACAGAGGAACAACATGGATGGCAAGTGAGCTATCCGACGCATGCGCGTATCGATCGTGACCCCTCTATTGAGTAACATTTGCACAGGCCCATAATTTAACAATTGATTTTGTTAAATCGAATAAAAAAGAATAAAATTTTTCGCTGTATCACTTCATTGTCGAGATATCGAAACTGAAACTTTTTAGTTTTAGTTTTAATCACTAATGGGAAGTTCGTCATATTCGCATAGACAAAGTGTGGTCAGACCTATTTTTTAAATAAGATTCGTAATTAATGGCAATTCTATAAAAATCGCCAATAAAAATAGTAAATTTAGTTAAAATCTAACGATAATACAAAAAACTTACAATGTTGTCCTTCGAGTTAAGGTATCTCGACACATAAGAAATACTAGTAGGCCGTATTTGATTCCGTATCCTTTGTAATTCAGCAGTAATCACACTAGGGCGAACTCGTGAATAGATCTTGATTGGTTGGGTATCAGTCGTGTTATGATAAATAGCTGGATGAGGTGTATGAATCACTGTAACGAGCTTCTTGTGAGCAATGTAGGGTAGATGATGGAATGTTTGTACCTGTATTTAATGAGTTCAATAAATCAATTACAAAACTTCATTTTATCCTCTATTTGCTTTTACCATATGATACATAAACATTAACCAAACAACAATGTAGCTCTTTTTTATTCGTAGATAATATGCACAGTAAAAAAGCATTTTGTAAGCATGAGAATTATCAAAAAGCATGGATCAGAAAACATCAATATCATCGAAGCTTAATATATGCCTGAATCATAATTAGAATTCTTGTATTCTATGTAAGAATGTTCAGAATTTAAGTGTGATTCTCTAAATTGTAATTCAGAATTCTAATTATTTACGAAATGCTAAGTAATATAGGATAGCTTTAAAATAATACTTTACCTTCAAAACAATTTTTTACGATGAAAACACTGCCTTCTTTTTCATTCCTTAATTTTCGAACTTTTATACTTTCTTAATTCCTTTTGAATTCAAGCAATTGACGTCTAATAAGTACAATTTTATAATTCTTTTCATGCTAGTTTTCGAAATAACTTTCGATTTCAGTGGCGTTGAGGTAGTACTGTGACTTAATACTATGTCCACTAATACTTACAAGTACTTAAAATGAATAGAAAATATGAACGAATAAAGAAGAGAATGTGACTGACAACAAATTGACTCTACAAATAGTGTCATTAAAGTGAATCTTCAACTAAACACTCACAATGAAGAATAATGTCTCTGCTCTATACAGGCACTTTCCGCTTTATCCACGGCCTGTAGCGTCAATAAGGCGAGCAGCAGCTTGTAGGAAAATAGACACTAATAATTACGAAGATTCTCATAACTCACGTACATAACCGGTTTATTCTTTATAAAGACTACGAAAATTTCTACGTGATATGTGTATATGTGTACAAATAGCGTTTACTGTATAACGACATTCTTTTTTATTAATTTTTTTATTATTAACTTCCCATTAGGAAGTTATTGATATTGGGTCGAAATTCGAATTCTCATCATATCTCTACGTTTCATGATATTTGCGAGCATACTGACCAATTTTTAGAATGATGTGTGAGTGTACGTACGTCAGAATTTTTTTTTGTTTTTGATATCTCAAGAACGGATTAAGATATCGACTTCAACCAAAGTTTATTTGAAAGATATTATGAAAAAGAAGATCTGAGTGAAATTGAAACAAATTCGATCGAGCCGTTTTTTTTTTATAACAAAATAACTAATAAAAAAATTAAAAGATTAGCTATTTAGAATACTTTTAAGCCAAACAATAACAATTGTATTCGAAAATGAAGTCAATAGTGACTAGACATTATTATTCACAACTAAATATGACTTTCATCGATGACATATTGCTTGTAGCAATATAAATTTGTCATAAACAATTAAAAATTGTATTTGTCGATTGACTAATGCGTATATCACACCGATTTGAATGCTTTCAATAAAATAATATTACTAATGAAGAAATATGACTCTCAAGAATCGCACATTGTTTATAACAATATGAATTTGTTATAAACAATCTAAAATTGTATTTATCGATTAAGTAATGTGTGTATCACATGGATTTGGATGTTTTCAACAAAATAATTTTATTTCTAACGCGATATGACACATAACAATTATGAATTGTTCATAACTATTTGAATTTGTTATAAACAATCACTAATGGGAAGTTCGTCATATTCGCATAGACAAAGTGCGCTCAGACTTATTTTTAAATATACATCCTGTCAATAATAAATAATGAAAAATGTGTGTTCTTCGTGAATAAGAAATCCCATATATTTATTCCGTACTTATAACAATATTATCATACAAGGATAACAAAAGTTTTTTTTAAATTTAAAGCACTTGTATTTTAGAGCCGTATTGAACATTGCGTTTGACTACAATTCAGTGACAACATTGAAATGATACATTAATTGAATTTAAAAGTAATTTAATGTTTTGTAGAGTTCATTATTTTTATTACTTATTAAATACGGTATGAATAATGACGATATGTCGTACCACCTGGTAAACGACCTGAGCTATGGGATTCGTATGAAGATCGATAACCAGGACCTGAACCAGACGATGATCTGAAACGTCTTTCAGTTGAGTACGTTCCACGGGGTCCATCCTCAGTCTGAATTGATATTTCCGATGCTGTACGTCGTGGATAATTATAATTATCAGATGAACTTGATGTGTCCGTATAACTGTAGCTGTATTGTTCTTGTGCTGATCTCATATTGATATCAGGATAGTCACGAATGATGTAGTGCCGTGGCGTCTGAATAAAATGAGTCAATATACATGATAATGAGTTTAAACTTACTTAAACATAGTCATCGAGTAGTATTTATCTACCTATAAATAACTTATTGTTACGAACTATGAAAAAAACAAAATTCACCACACAGTTCATAAATATAATATTAAAAAGCTGTTGTATTGCATCAAGCATAAGGTTCTACCAATTACGGATGTAACATAAGTATCAAAATATTTTTAAGTACTTATAAAAAAAAATAATGATAATAGTGCATGAAGGGAATAAAGATTATATGCTATGATTATAGAGTGCATATCGAAGTTCTCATATTTGGATACTCGAAGAAGTGAGTCCTATCAGACAGGGTTTCAAACTGAGCACATATTTTTTTTTTTAATAAAGTAATACTTCTGAGATGTAAAACCAACGTAAATGGCTTGCAATCCGGTTATTTATGAAAATATTATTTTAAGTAAATATTTATTTTTGAAATTTTACTTTTTCACATTAATCGACTATACAATTGCTTGAATAAAAAAATTCATGACTAAACCTACTCAAGACATCCTGTGGTTTTGTGTAGTGAACTCTAATAATTTTTGTGGTATTCAAAAAGAACTCAAGACTTAGTCACAAACACATGAAGATTAAACATTGCTAACATTCTTGTGTGGACTCGATTACGTAAATCAGATTTATTCTATTTAAATTTTTTTTTTCAAGAAAACTTTTCTTGTATTCGTCACATGTGCCTAAAATATCGTATTACTACCGTAATACGATTCATAGTATTTTACTTATGATCTTTCAGAAATGATACAGATCTAATTTTACCGACGCTAAAAATTCAACACAGAATTTTATTATGACTTATTATTTTTTATTGTAATGTAAGTCTTCATCGAAAATTGTAGTACTCATCACTGTAAAAAGTAAATTGAAAATTCAACAATTTCAACTTGTAACTATACATTTAATTTTCTAAACACTGTCAATAACTTTTTATTTCATGAACAATCGTAAGATAGGTCTACATTTTGTACGAATATTCAATGATGTAGAATAAAATTCGATGTTTTAGCTGAACTTTAATAAATTTGATTAAAATTTACTCATGAAATTGAAAATTGATCTGTACTGACTGAAAATCACAATGCATGTGTTAAGTATTTTTCAATGTCCTCATTAAAACACGCTTAATGTCGGTAAGTTGATAACCTCAAAAGTTTTTTGTGGATATCTCTGCACAATCTTGAGTATAAATAGATATTTATATTTAAATAAATAACACAATAATAGATGTAATTACATTTTTTGAATTCCAACAATGAATTCTTTTAATCACCAAAACATTTATTGTGAAAACATTTAATTCAAATTACTTTTTGAATAAGTTAATAGCCGAGTGGGTTGAGACACCTGATTCAAATGTGCATGACTCGGCGGTCGTAAATTCGAATCTAACTCCGAACCATCTTTACTACAATCGAAATATTTTGCAGAATTTTTTTTTTTTTTTTGTACAATCTATAATGTTCATTCTATAATAATATGTCGGGCCTCCGGGGTTACAAAGGTGTTTCTGTCCTTTAGGATATGTCGCGTAACAACGGGGGCAGATTATGGTTCGTCGTGCCCCATTTTCGTACTGCCCTATATGGTAGTCTGAATGTGAGCACTTCGAACACGCCGAGCGCGAGACGCGTGAGCGATCGCCGACCAAAGCGGATAAAGTTGGTGCTACGGGAGGTCAAATTCCGAGCCCTGTGCCCTGGGGGGAGCGTGACATCCGTCCCCAATAAGATGTCAGTCAAAGGCATTTTTACAATCTTTTAAATTTGAATCTTTAAATGTATAATCTTACTGATTGTTAATCAAATTCTATGATGCCCAGATTTTTTATCTAATGATCATTTTAAAAATAAGCTTTATTCTTTTAATCTTTTAAAATTGGTTTTTTTTATTTTCAATCATTTAATATTCAATCAAATTATAAAAATTTTTCTTTTTTTAATGTTTATCATTTCGTTGAACAGTCAACTTAAGAAATTAGGACTGGTAAGTTATCTTGCGTCGGTATAGTAGAAAAAAAAATTCAACTAGTGTCACTGTTTTCTAATAGATGACAGTAATTACACTGTTTTCAATCAAAAATTAAAAATACTTATATGACTTTAAATTTTGAATTGTTTAATAGCAACTTTACTTACAAAAAATAAATATTAGATTGATCTTCTTGAAATGGAGCATAATTTTCTTCAAAACCAATTACTTATATCGATATTTTTCATCGTTAGAGATATACCACATCAAGTTATATTGAGTTAATTTCTTTACAATATCAATTACACAATTCAAAATAATAAAAAAATACTTTACTTTTAAATTGAATTTTTCTTCAATATATTTCCTTTTTTTGTTTCATCAATCATTTAAGTTACTGAATTACTTGCTATTTCTTCAGTTAGTTTGTGTTTTAATTGACTATCAGTAAGACAGTCTTCTAGTATTATCGTAATTATAAATAAAATAAAATATATTATTTGTATCATTAATTTACGCTTAGTTTGACTTTTCTAATAAAGTTAGTTTCTTCCATTGTGTAATGAAATTTTTTAAACAGGTTTTTTTTCAATATAATTTTTATTTCAAACTCTTTTTTCATTAATGACATATTTTTTAAAAAACAAAATAAATTTTCACACAAATAAATTATATATTAAAGAGAAATAAAATTAAGATCCTATTAAATTTTTATTATTACTCA